TTGCTCTATATCACTTATCTGGATAGGTAGACTGGATTGCAGGTGCACTTTCAAACCCTTTTTCAGTAGTGCTGAGCACCAAACTCTATTCCTTGGTATCCTTGGCTCTTTGTATCTTTGGCTCTTCTCTTATCACCAGAGATCTTCAAGTAGCATAACTGAAGCAGGTGGAAGATCTAGAAGAATCAACATATGTGAAAAATAAATATTGAAATAGTAAATATTGGAAAAAAATATGCTTGTGCAAAGCAGGCTGTTTACCTTAAAATTTATTTTAATCTTCTCTCACATATCACATGTTCTGGCCTATCCAAATGATATTTCATACAGCCTGGTGAGCTGGATACATAGTCTTCTAATTTACTCTGAATGACAATATGACCTGCACTCTTCAATGCCTTGTATGTGACAAGGGAAACTGCAGCCCTACAGCATTTGCAAGGGAGGTAGATTTTATTTTTGTCTTACAAGTTGAAGGAACTATGACTAACATTTAGCTAATGTTTACACAGTGCTTTGATGCTCTGAAGTACTGAATTCATGGGACAATGCAGTGTTTCTAAGAGGCCTTTTCACGCAAATTCTGCTACAATATCTTCACTAACAGCTTGTAACTATCTTAACTTATGTTATAGCACTATCTTCAGCTTCTCTTTGGATGACACAGAGAATTTGAAAAGTTTGCTATGTCACATGGGTATAGAAACAAGCTTAAATCCATATCAGTGCTGATTCTTTAATTTTTAAGAACAAGCACACCGTTATTTCTTGATAACTAAGAATGATTATAGCTGCACTTTTCCCATTGGTTTTATTTGCAATAACTTCTTAATCCCTTGTACTGTTGCTGTTCTTCTTTGACAGACTGGTGACTGTTGGATTAATCCCTGAAACTTTATGTTCTGTTTAGCAATGACATTTACTGGACTATTTTAAAGGAAATTATTAGTTTCAAGTTCTGCATTTCAGGTAATAAAAACTTTGCAGTGTGAGATTTCTAGCATGAACTTCAGACACATTTTCAATTCCTGAGGGAAAGAATTATGACTTGCATTCACATCAAGATTTTGAAGGTTTTCAATGGTGTTTACAAGGTATGGATAAGCAATTATATGTACTCATTTTTCAGATTTTCTCAATGAATGTTAGAGCATGAAAAAAGTTACATTAACTTCAGCCTTAATCCTTTGCCAGTAAAACTTGTGATTGCAATTTTGGATTGGAATTTTCCATTATTTTGGCTATCTATTAGAAGTCAAACAGACTTAAAAGACAAAGAAGTCTCCTCTTGAAGAATCACGTATATGTAAATTTTCTATGGAATGCTTTTCAAGATTCACAGAAGAGGCAAAATATCAGTTTCCTGATGTGTAGTCCCCTCCAGCAGCTGAAATATGTTTCATGGAGCCTCAGGTAACTCTTTCTACATGCAACAAGAGAGGAGAAAACTGGAAGGAACCTTCTCTGTTCTTCTTCTTACTTATCACTTCATGGTCAATCAAACTGTTGGACACCAAAGCTTAGAAGCACTTGGGAATCTCATCCTCCCTCTTCTATAACCCATGGAAGGTACAGCATGAAGAGGGACTGTACAGGGGGTTAAATATATTTGATACTTAGGTAGTAATCGTATGGGATAATTGCTAGTGCCTTGTGAGGCCTGGGATTCCGTGTCTGTGTACTTTGTTATGAAGCCCACCATTTGCTAGAGCATTAAGGCCCAGTGTCTCAGCTTACCTTTTAACAGAATGGACAGGAAAATCTTCAAAAAACAATAATGAGAACACCAGAATTGACCAGACTTTTTTTTCCATGCATTTGAATCTTGGGGTTGATAGAAGTTCTGATAAAATATTTTTATTTCCGTTTAAAGCATTCACATTGTTTCCCCACGTGGCTTCACAGCTGTCTAATAATGCATATACTCATTCAGCAGCTTTTCTCTTGGTGAGGGCTGGTACAGGGTTTCCTTAGTCTTCCCAGAACATCACCCTTAAGTCCTATTGACAGCTGGGGTCCTCTTCTTTTGACTCCGATCCAGCTGAGCAGTGAGTTCATTTTCAGAAGTTAAGGACAACCAGACAGTGACCCTCTAAGCCTGATTCTTTAGGAATCATGATAAGAACATTAGCAATATTTAAAGTAGCACAAAAAAGCTTGAAAATACAAATACTATCAACCAACTAAAGTGTTTATATAGCCAGCAGAAAGCTGAAACCAATAGTTGGGAACTTTGTTTCCTTGCAGATTGTGTTAGCAGGAAAGAAAACAAAAACTTTTGCCCATATAAATTTCAAATAAACTTTTCTTTCCTCTTCAGATGACCTTACTGTAAAGAACAAAATTTCCAACTCTCCTTTGATTACTGTAGCACACTTACACATTCAGAGAAAAAAAATTCTTTATTCCTCTAAAAGTAGAAGTTCTTAGGACAAGTAGGGCAAATTTAATCGAATACTTAATTGATTAATACAGAGAGGATGGTACTGACTGTGATAATTATTTGATTGATGTTTAACCATTGAGATGTCAGATGAATGCAATAAAAAATTTGAGCTCCTCTTTTACCTGAAGAGAATTCTTATTTATCATAAAAGCCAGTGTCTCAGCTTGTATTTATAATGATGGAGAAAAAATTTACTTTCAGAGGACTCCATAATTAAGCATCAATAGTAGAGGCTTTCTTTGTAGCTAAATAAAAAGAAATTTATTACCTCATCCAGAAATATTCTGAAGGCAGTTAATACTTTATGTGTAGTTGGTGCTGATGTAGGTAGTAAAATTAACATATGCAAATCATTTGATGTCTTGGTATTTTTCAAGTTTCTACTATGTGTCCAACATGACATGCTCAGAGGGCAAATTTTGAACATCAGTCCTAGATGATTTTTTGGATTCTGAAGTTGTGCCATATCACTTTAGTCTCTGCAACACCTAAAACACTGAGTCTGGGTAGTAGTCAATAATCATGCTATTAATTCAATTTTTTCTTATGCTGTCATTAATTCCACCAACACGACTGTGACCTTCAAAGAAATGTCATCTCAGGGACTTCACAATTCTGCAATGGATTACAAATGCAGCCAATAGCTGGAAATGTCAAATTTCCTGTTTCTGCAATATTTGTAGCAAACTAAACTATAGTCTCGAGATGGGAAAAGTTGGCCTGTTTCTCACTTTTGTGAAGAAAGAAAACCATTGCTAGAAGCAGCCAGACACTTGCGTGATAATATTTGAAAAATCTTCAGAGTTATCAGCATGTTTAAAACAGACAAGAAGTCTCTGCTTTGGATATTAATATTTCATAACCAGGAAAGATCTTAGATGTAACACAGTTGGACTGACTGCATTCAGTGCTTTTAGTTTTAATAATGCTAGTTTCATGTGGTCAAATGTGAATGCTTATGGCAATTTTGCATTTGTTCTTTGTGGGTCAGAGGATTGGATGCCTATCTATTAAAATGTTTGAGTGTGAAGACCTGTAGAGGATTATAAAGGTGGTCTGCAGCTGTCCTTCCTTTCTTCCACAATGATAGTGTTCATAAAATTTATTAGTTACTAAAGATCCACGTATCTGCCATAGCCTTTGCCTGTCCTGCCAGCCTCCAGTCCAATACTGACTGGTGTCTTTGTGCCCACTAGATACTGTTCCACAAAGAAGAGGTCAAGCACAGAAATGGAACAAGAATTGACTTCTGCTCTTCCACATAGTTACACTCTGCTTAGGAAAAAGATATGAAGAGAGAGAAATAAGAAATTAACTTTTAGTTAAATAATCAAGGGGAAAGTCTTCAAGGGATTCTATTTATAAAAGCAATGTTAGCAAAAACACTTAACTGTGTGGCTAAAATGACTAGACAGTCATCTGAATGTAAACATCACTCATTTCTTGAGATCACTCAGACTTTTACTAGATGGTTACAAACTTTGGAGTCAAACACATTTTAAAGCTGGGCAAAGGAGCACAGACTTACTCCAAAGTCTTCTCCAATGTTTCCATGCTCCCTTGGAATAAAATTTTCAAAGACTGAGGCTTAAAATCTCACAATAACAGTGCTCACAATGGAAAGATATTCCTATTTCTACACTAGCTACCCAGCAACAGGGCCTCTGTCCAGAAATTGCAAAGTTTTCTTCCGGATTGTAACAAAATTCTGAAGGCAATTGTTTACTATATGGTATATGGCAAAATAAGGAGACCTTGGAAATATAGAAAGAATCTGTCTTATGCTGTCCCAGAAAAACAGTGAAAAAAAAGAATAGGATTTAAGTTAAGGATTTACTAAAAATAAGAGGCCATCATGTAGTGATCTTATGAATGAGCAGTGGAGTATTGCTGCACTTGCCTGGCTGGGCTTGTCTTATGTCCTGGGATTCATCCTTATGAAAGCTATCATCCTGTTCCAGACAGCTGTGTTTATCCACACATTTAACATGCCTCTTCCTTCTCTCCTACATCATACCAAGACAACTTCCCCAGAGTTTTCCTGACCTTGAAGATACTCCATTGTTTACATCCAAGTCTTTTGATCCTGAGCAGCATCTGTCAGGCTAAACAAGTTAAGCTCCATCAATCTGACACAACAGCTCCAGCTTTTCCAATAACATGGGATTTCATTCACTCTGAAAAATGGGATTATACCTAACATGGCTTTGCATCAAGCTAAAAATAAACAAGCTTAAATGCATCACTTATTTTCTCCTTTTGACAGTACAATTCAGCAACAATCTTATTAATTTTACAGATATGAGTCTCTTGAGGACTGACCACTGAAGACAAAGAAAAGCCATATGATAAAATCTTTGCAGTTTGAGCCCTTGAGGCAGATACCCAACCTCTTCTTATTTTCTTCTCCCTCTGCAAAAAATTCCCTGTACAGATTCTTTCTATTATCAGTAATAAATGGGTTGTATAGCTTTATATGTATATGCAGTGGACTTAATAATCAGAAAGGTAATAACCACTATACTAGGCTGGATTTGAGTGACTGTGAAACAGAACAAAATTAATGAACTTTAAATTTGTGTGGTACTGCTAGTAGTAACTCAATAGAGCTGGAAGAAAGACTTGAAGCTTACAGCAATGCACATAGCTAGGATCAGAGCCCCTCAATAGATGGATATTGTGGGTGGATAATAAAAACTTGAGCAATATAATATTTGAATGGTAATTGAAACTGCATCAGTTCATGTCCAGAATGCTTAGAAAATATCTAACTATGATGGATGATGATGAAGCATAGGAATTAGGAAGATCTGACTACTGACTCCATCATGTTTATCAGTACCTCTGCTATCATATGATACACTGGCTTAAGTGTTCCAGTAAATCTGATGGTACTGGTTGATGAATTTGCCACTGGCAGATGGTTCAGCTGCTATTAAAAAAAGTGAGAGCTTTATGGGTTTTGTTTTTCTGGTATGCAATGTCATTTGAAAGGATTCTGATTATCACTCTTTATTTCCATACCACTACTCTTTTGCTTTGCACTGAGTGTCATCAGATTCTGGTTTTCATTGTGATAGCAGAACTATGAACTGGAGTCACCAAAGAGTTTGTGTACAGATGTCACAGTTAATGCATTTTTCTTCTGTGATAATAATGGCAGAAACCATATTTTGAACAGAGAATGTGAACAAGAACTAGAAGAAATGCAATAATTTATCTAGGGTGTAGACTGAAACAAAGTGTGAAGTAACAGCCATAAAATAGGCAAGAAATCAGAGATATGAGTTAAATCCATCTCTCCTGAAGTTCAACCTTACCTCAATGTTTACCTGTGCTGTGTTCTATTCAAGTATGGAGCTGGTTTTCCTGGATTCTCTGCATTCTCCAAGGTTACAAAAAGGTCTTCTTTTTATAGTAGAATGCATGTGGAAAGTGAAAAACCTGTTCCTAATAGTATTCTGAGCAAGTCAATTGCAGATCAAACACATTTCTGTGGAGTCCTCATGGGCAATGGCTCTGGTTATCTATGGGTTCCTAAATCTATTTTGCATTGTTGGAGATAAGGGGAATCGTAATCAATTCTAATGTGACTACTTATTCCTGGGAATATACCGAGTGAAATCTACTGACAGTTTAACATCCATCATCCTGTCTGCTTAGCAACACAGATTTCCTTGAACACGTTGGTCCATTGCTCATGTCCATTCATGGGCCTATACTCAGCTGGAGTTCAGCATGGGCTGCTGTGTTCAAAGAAGCTGTGTCTTCCCTGATGCCAGAATGTCTTAAAGGGCTGATTGATGTTTGCTATCTGTAGGAATATATCTTGTCCACCAGAAGAGCTTTCCTGATGAGTCCTGCCCTGGAGCGGTGAAATAGAGCACAGGAAGATTCCCGGGGGGCTAATATATAAATTGGAGTGGAGCCACTTTTATTCACCTAAGACAGAATGACACTTTAGCCTCTTCCTTGTCATGTGGTATCCCATGCATCCATTGCACATACAAAATGCAAACAGCCTCTGTCTTCTCATAGACACATCTGGTGCTGCAAAAGAACAACTGTGTATCAGGGCACAAACATGACCAAATGCCTACATACATGCTCCTCACTCAAATGGATATGCATTATTCACTTGGTGGAATATACTTCTGGAGAATGCACTTTCAGTCATAGGATGGAGGATGAACAAACTTCTTGGTTCCCAGCCATGCTTGAAAGCTTTAGGGAAAAATAAGAACAAGAAATAGACTGAAGATTGGAAAAATATTGCCCTGGTGAAAGATATCTTGGTGGAAGGCCAGGGTTATATTCCTGATCTACACTGTAGACTAATTCCTGCAAACAAGAGGATCATAATTCCATTAAACTTGCAAACAGAATGCAATTGCTTCAAGTCAGTTTTTCTCCAGTGTTTTTCAGTATTTGTGCAGAGTTCAGCAATTCATTTTCATGCATATACATAAACACAACTAGATAAATCTATGTTCATCATCAAGCTATTATTTTGCAGGAGAAAAAGAAAGAAAATAAACTGCTAGGAACTAGAGGCAACTTCAGCTTACAGTGAGTATGGGGTCCTATCTGCTCCCTGTTCTGTCTTCCTAATCAAGTTAAACTCAATCTGTGGCAGGTTCCACAGGCATCTCAGTGACTCAGTACTGCATCACATAAGACTTAGGAAGATCCTTATGGGACCCAAATGCACAGTTTTACCTACAGCTATATTTTAAAAGTTACTTTAGTAGGAAGAATATTTTATGTCAAAATTTGTAAGTTAGGCTAAGCTTTTGTGCGCTTCCTGATATCTGTTGTGCACCTGAATGCGCCTAAATGTTTTAATATATCCCTGTACTTGCCTTGTTTTTATTTTTCAAGATCCTCAGGATATATCTATACCTCTACACAACAGAAGGCTGGGAAATCACTTCAGCACTGGACTCCTGATTGCCCCCATTACCCAATTTCTTGATGGCTTCCACTGGGTTAACACATCTCAGGCTTTCTCAACAGAGTTCACTCCAGCAATTCCTTAGAAAGCAAACATGTATGAGACTTCATAAAATTTCTGTCTCCACCCTTCACAGCCTGTCAGCACTACCCCAGTCATCTTTGAAGCCTTATATGACTCCACATTCTCTCTAGCCACACCTGTGGGCATGAAAGATTCACTCTGTGCTTCATGACATGACAAAACTTCTGTGAAGAGCTACATCACATCACTTCAAACACTTTAAAGTGAATTAAAATACAGTCACATAGCACCTCAGTCATGACTTATCATCACCAGGGATATCCCTGGCCAAGGGATATGTCATGCAAAGGTCAACCAAAAGCCTATTGGATTAAACTAACACAGTAGGAACAGGATATCAAAAATACAGTCACCAACGGAAGTCAAATAACTTTTTCTCTTTTTCAATACATCATTAAACAGATAGCGAACCATGTCTTATTTAATAACTTTCAAAAGACTCTTAGGCATGACACTAATAAATGTTACACAGGTCCTCTGTAATATAAAATTATTGTTAATTCTATGTTAAGTATTTCAAAGATGTCCAGCAATGAAATTAAGTATTTCAATGGTAATAGGTAATTTATTTGTTCTGAGGATATTTTAGTTTGACTGCATTTTAATTTCAAACTCTTGTCAGCCATCAATTACCATGGGATACCAACAAGATAAATAAAACTGTTAACTAAGTGAGAATTTACTTGTAAATTGAAATGTATGCAATAAACTGAAGGCTTTTTCTGATTGCTACCAAACATTGTCAGTATTAGGAAAAAAAGTATCTATGATGCTTGCCTCTCACAAACACCAACTAGAATTTAAATGAGGAGATAAACAATAGCTCTCAGAAAAGGAGTTTTTCTACAGCAAAAGGGAGTGAACAGCAATGTTTCATCTTGATTACTTAAAAATAAGAATGATTTGTACCACATTTACTGGATAAACTACACCACATATTTGCATTGGTGAAGAGATGGCATCTGCTATTCTTATGTACATCAATATATATCTATCATTCTCCACCTACTTCCCCCATGTTTTTATTGGCACAGTGGTGGAATTAAAACTTCTGTGGAATAAACCACAGAAAATAATAAGAATTGCAAATGTTCAGAAAGTTGAAAACATTTGATTGCTTTGGAAAAAAATCAGTGCATTTGAAAAGAATAACAGGATAATCAAGCAAGTCCTCTTTTACTATTGCAGTATAAGAGACTTTTGGACTTCCAGCAGAGAAGGCATTTATGGATCATCAATGTATTATTTGTAGAAGCAAAAGGAAAAAAACTACTTTTGTCTAGAGACAATAGTCTTGATTATGGTGTTTCTGAAGTAATAAAAGTATATGCAAGTCTAGAATATATTTTTGCCTTTTTTTTCTACAAACACCATCTTAGAATGCCAATTTGCTGCTTACAAATATTATTTGCATATATTAGTTCAATAAACAGGCTGCTAAATCTGCCTGGCATTTTGGAGGTGCCAAATGAAGATTTTAGCATCAGTAAATATATGGTTATTATGCTTACAAGATCCATAACATGCCAGTCCTCAGACTTCATAAGATTTGTCATTTGTGAATAATTGCTTTTAAAGTGGAGGTCAGGAATTGAAGCCAGAAATAAATTGATGTTGGCTATAGTTTGTAAACAAGACTCCCTTGACATGCTGGCTTGACTATCCCTGTTGTTATTTCCTTTGGTTGGCTCTTAATCTTGTTCAGTTAAAGTAACTACAGAGAAATTAAAAGGCTGATTATGTTTGGCAAGATATATTTTCTTACACAAATCCAACATCTTAAGAAAAACAGCCCAGGGCAGTCAAAATTTTTCATGTTTATCTGTGAATGTAACTTTGTCTTCAGGTGTAATGTTGATCTACATGTTCAATAGATACATGAGAACTTACTAGCCTTTTGTGTCATAAGAAAGTTAAGAGTCAGAGCAGCTCTAAAATGGTCCCCATTAAATTAATTCATCTTGGTCATAGAATCATAGAATGATTTGGGTTGGAATGGACCTTAAAGATCATCTAGTTTCAACCACGTTGCTATGGACAAGGAATATTCAGCTAGACCAGGTTACTCAGAACACCATCCAGCCTGGTTTCAAACATCTCCAGGGATAGGTAATCCACTTCTCTGGGAGACCTGTTCCCACTACCCTCCCAGAATTTTCTCCAAATAACTAATCTAAACCTGCTCTGTTTCAGCTTAAGGCTATTCCCTCTTGTTCCCTTACTAAGCACCCTTCTGAAAAGTCCCTCTCCAGCATTCTTGCAGGCCCCCTTTGAGTACTGGAAGGCTGCTTGAAGGTCTTACCACAGCCATCTCTTCTCCAGCATGAACAGCTCCAAGTTTCATAGCCTGTCTTCCTAGGAGAGGTGTTCCAGCCCTTCTGATCCTCTTCATGGCTTCCTCTGGACTCACTCCAACAGGTCCAAGTCTTTCTTGTGCTTATTACCCCAGAGCTGATGCAGCCCTGCAGGTGGGGTCTCAAAGACCAGAGGGGCAGAATCCCCTCCCTGTCTCTGCTGGCCACATGGCTTTGGAGGCAGCTCAGGACACGTTTGGTTTCTGGGCTGTGGGCACCCATTGATGAACCATACTGAGCTTGTCATCCACAAACACCTCCAAGTGTTCTTCTCCAGGGTTAGTCTCAATCCATTCTCTGCCCAGCCTATACTTGTGCTTGGGATCTATTGCCAGGATTTGTGTATAGAAAACCATGGGTTTGGAGCACAGAAGATAATCAAGAAAAGAAAGTTTCATTTTCTGTTCATGATCTTTTAGACCAAACTAAAATATTGAGAAAACAATAGCTCCAGGAAGCAATGTTTCTCATTTCAACAAAAGGAAACAAAAATATCTGAATCAAACAAAGGGTGATGCACAGCCAAAATCTTCTTGTGAGAAAAAAAGAAAATAGTGACTGTATGGTGCTAAGAACACATTGTTTATCCCATTAGGACTTTAGCAACATATTTATAGAAATCATTAGTCCAGTTTTGATGCTATACATTCATAACAAATTATATAAAAAGCCCTCATAAATTATAATTGCTGTACAGTAAAAGATACTATTATTTACCTTTTTCCCATTAAATTATGCTTATCCTTCCAATGTCACTTTGGGTTGAGTTGAGAGTGCCAGTCTTCTGCTTTTAGAAGCGATGAGTGCATTTTACCTCAGGTCATCGCTTCCCTGAAGCACTCGTTGGGAAGAGTATGATGCCCATGGTCGGGGGATCTCTTCTTCTTCTTCAGGCTTGGTGGCCACCTTTCTTAAAAAGACCAGATTTCAGCTAAAATTTGACTTTTTTCCAGTAGCATCCCTGAGCCCAGTATAACACCAAAGGCTCTTAAGCTGGCCCATGGTGGCAAGTCTGATAAGATTTGACAGACCTTTGCCACATGCAGAATTTCCAGAATGATCTACAAGAGGTTAGGCAAAAGCCACTTGATGACTAGACAAAATATGTTTGTGTTTTTGTATAACAAAGTATTAGAATCTGTAAGTTTAAAAAGGATTTCTCATTACACAGGGACTTCAAAAATAATTGAGGAGACAATGACTTGTTACAATTCAAAGGTTTGGGTTATGGAACACTAATGGATAACTTTTTAGAGGGGCAATGACAAAGTTTCATGCAGGCCTACTGTCTCCCTATATTTAAATATCATGACTTCTTGCATCAATTTTCCATGCTTTCCTCTGATTTTGATAATTCAGTGGTCTGCATCTATTTACAGGAGCTCTCTGACATAAAGACAGATTTATCTGCAATGCTCCAATGGATAACTTTAATTATACAAGACAATGGTATGTCATAGACCTGTGATTAAACTTGCTAGCAAATTTTACACTGTAGATGTATTTTGTTATAAAATGCCAGTTTTTCAAAGTGAAGGCTGTTTAAATAAAGACAGCCTTTTTGATAAAATGCTTCAGAAAAATGCTTTGACATTTAAGTCCCCCACACCCCCAAATTAGTATTTTTTCATTCGTATTTTTTAATTTTAAAAATATCTTCTTTTTTACAACTATACTCAATCATACTGAAAGAAACCATAAATTGATTATTTTAAAAAGTAATGCAAAAGAGCAGTGAAAATATTTTTTTAAATGAAGCATTGAGTTATATTTAGTGAACATTTTTAGACTGCTGATTCATGAATGTCTGCATTTTGAATATTTAATTCCCATTGAGAATGGGAACTTACTGCAATGAGAAAACATTTTTCTCCCAATACTATTCAAGGGTATTCACTGGGAAATTGCAGTAAAACTCCAGATATATTGTCCAACCTGTAATTACTGATCTTTGTCCCAAGGTTTGTCAGATTAGGCCAGTTTGGGAAGAAACTCTGATCTTTAACAGCTAGAGGCAGCAAGCTACACAAAATTGCTTCAAACAAAGTTCTGCTCCAATTTAAGGTGCAAAACCAAAAAAATGCTCTTACTCATACTTACATATTTTAGACGAACTAAAATTTATTCTGCACCTTTGATGAGGTATCCCATAATTCTTAGTTCCAAAATTAAAGTCTCCTATGTCTCTTCAGTAATTAATGTAAGTGCCAAATAATCTTTCCCCCCCATCTGATAAAAGTCAAGTAGCTTTCTTGAAATGCCAGCAATCATCCTGCTTCCTGCTATCTCCTTCCTTACAACACATCCTGTCTCCCCTAACACACAATGTCAGTCAAGATTTCTGAATCTAGCAAACCTACTTTGCATTTTTTCATTCCACTGGGAGCTCTCTGGTCTACCCTCATTCTCTTGGAGAATGAGATTTCACTTGGTCAAAATAATTCAATTAACCCTTGTTTGTCTTAGTAGGCAGCAAATGACTTTAATCTGTTCTACTGCTCCACAGAAGCATAGGCCCCATGGACATTACACCTCTTTGGATAGCAGCCTGAAGAGGAGGAGATAGGTACCCAGAGATGATGTCTTCCTCATGGCTTGAACACATATATGAATATACATCCTCCTTTGGCTTCTCTCAAGATAATGAATTCTCACCTTGACCCCTGCTTGCCTTTTTCCATGCATTCACAAAGCATTCTGTGGGTAAGGTACACAAAATATGTTCCAGTGTCTGCTATTTCAGAACGATACATGAATTCCCTCCCCCTTTAATTCCAGGGGACAGAAGCCATCTGTCTTGTAGCTGTGTGCAAGACCTACGCAAAAATAGGTCCTATTGCAATCCAAGCAAATGAGTGTACTCTCTAACACTTAAAAAGTAATTATGGTCATTATTTATCACCATCATCTTCAGTGTGAGGAAAGAAGCCTTTTGGCCTTCAGGCACAAATAGATGTGGTCTAAAGCAGCAAACACTGAATATGACATTCTCTCATACAGTTCATAAGCAAAATAAATGCAAGCATCAGAGCTGTGCTGATGCAATAAAGACTTAGGGCTGTCTTCTATTGCATGTGCTAACCTTTCCAATGGAGGTTTACTCAAGACATATCAATTCTATAAAATACTTCACCATGCAGAAATACCTTGAACAGATATTTCTGGAAAGAGTAACTGGAGTTTGAACTAGGGGGGAGTGATTAACCCTGGGTCAGTTATCATCTTCTGTTTCTGTAACTGGGGCTGGTGCTTCTGCACATCACCAGCAGTGCTGTGAGAGAGACAGCACAGTGCTGAAAGGCACAATGTAGGCAGCAGACCAAATGCAAGCAGCACACAGCATTGTCCACAGCCTGCTCAGATGGAGATGGAGAGCAGCTAATAAACCATAAGGAACACATCATTCAAAAAGCCTCTGAAAAAGCAAAAGCTAAAGAATCAGCAAAAATTGGTTTGATCACCTTTGCCAAAACCATATTCAGCCTCCAAGGTACTTGTATGCTGTAGCACACATGCTTCTTTGGCTGTGTAAGGAGCACTGTAATTCTTTAAAATGCAAACTTTCTACAATTTTCTATAATTACTAATATTTTGTTCCACAAAATAAAATAGTCACAGGTGTGACTATTAAAACACCTTCAAAAATGCATTTTTGCAAAAATACTTTTCACTGAAGTACACTTAAACCTATTCATTTTAAAAATCTAAAATGTGATCTAATTTGTAGCTAATGTGCATTTAATATATTTTTCAAATTTGTAGCTAAATGTCCTCAATATACAGAAAATACAGGGCTTAGGATACATAAAGAGAAAAGTATACACCAGACATACTTTCAATTCAAAGGCCACACTAGAATACCAAATTTATTTTTTTCATGGTGAGTATTCACAGCACTTAAATTTCACTTAAATTCCTGGTGGTAATTCAGTAAGGCAGAGAGCAGCTTTGAAGGCTTTTGAAGGGCTGACATAATGGCTCTTAGAGGGGAACAGGATCAAGACAGTGAATGGCAGATAATACCTCAGGAGGAACTTAAACAGTCTGAATACGACCTGCAGAGAATTTCTAAAAGGCATTCAACTCGTAACATTTTGATCACAAATGTCCCGAGTTTCCAGAGGCTTTGCAAACATTAAAACAAATATTTCCAAAGGCACACAAAGATAATTTCACACTACTGGGAATCAAAGAGCATGTGGTAAGAGGAAAGATCTGATGGTTTTATGAACTGTGCATTTCTGGCATCAACCCTAACATGTTAATCTAATTGCTTTGTCTACAGAAACAGAAGGAAAAAGCTAAGCAATTTTTCTTCATTTTGGTGTTGTTGTTACAGATTGAAGGAATAAGCAATTCATGGAGTTCTGCGTCAAAAAAATATTCCATTGTCAGTTCCAAGAACTTCTGGAAGTGATTGATCACAACCACCATTTTCTTGACACATGTAATATTGAACAGCATATACCTAAAAAAATTTTTGATAAAACTGAGTTTCAAATTTAAAAGATACTAATAACTTCTTTGATTAAATGCTAAGGAATATAATTTTGTTTTTACAAATAGTACAGAAATATAAACTCCTGGAAACTGAAGTACTTACTTGAAGCAGATTTTTGGCTTAGCTTTCATCAGTTCTATGGAATTTTCCATTATATGACTTGCTGAAAGATGCATGATATGATCTGAATGACTGGTGATTGATGAGTCCCAGGGAGCACAATTTTAACTGTTCCATATGAAATAGATGTCTATCTACCAGGGACAGACATAGTCCAGCAATTTCCCAACCAGCCAAAAGTCTGGGATAGTATTAGAAAGGTGAATTCTTAACTTACTGAACTTTTTTTTTCTTTTAATACAAGATTCCCAATGGTAAAAAAAGCGCTCACAAAGATCCTTACCGAAGTTTGACCCAATCATTCCTTGACAGTTCTGCTTCCACTGTGTTTAAAAGAAAAAAGGGACAGCTGAAAAAAAGTAATTGATATTATTTTTCTTTCCAAAATTAACTAAAAAGGTAAAGAAGAAAACCTACAAGGTAGTTTTTAGGGAAGAATATCAAATACTGAAAACCTGAGAGTTTGACACTGGCCACCTAAACTGAGCAAAGGACTGTGCTTTTCAGTAAGTACCTTGCTAGTTTGTACAATGAGCTAAATACACCAATTCTTTCTTCTAGTTTCTCTCTTTGATGAACAATTTTCCTGATCAGTCATGTTTGTATTACATTTCCCATCCCAAGAAATGCCAACATACATCATAAAACAAGACCATATGCTACCAAAATAACATATGAATCTGTTTTGGAAACAAACATTGCTCTTCTCTTCTGAAGTGAAAGACTGAGATCCGATTCCCATTACAGTTTTCCAGGTGTTAGTTTTTAAGTTCAAACATGGAAGAGATGTACCCAATAACCAGTTTACTTGTGCCCAGTCTATGGCACTCCTGTGTCAAAGCTCCATGGCTTAGCCTCCATCCTTGGGGAGGGTGGTATCAATCTGCCAGCAGGAAATCGTTCCTGCTGCCTTCTTGCAGTGATTCTCCATGATGAGTGTGGAGAGGACTGTGTGTGCAATGGAGCTCAGCCCCAAGCATGGAAAGTTCCAGTCCTGAAGTAATTGATGTGATAAGTTGCAAGCTAGTGGCATTTTGAAAAGCACAAGGAGAGGATCAGAGTGAAAGCTGGAATTCAGTGTCTTCCTGTGGAGCATATTGTCTATTTGCATTACAAAATAGACTTCTTACAAATACATTCTTCTACTGGCCATAATAAAGAAAAATTCAGAGATTGACAGGTATAGAGTATCACAATGTCATTATTAAACTCAAAACTGACAGAGTTATTAGAAGTAAAATGCAAATTTTTACCTGAGAGGAAAAACTATGGTAAAATCTTCGTCACTGACTGCTTTTAAAATTGAGACTGCCTGCATGTTTATCTAAAAGATGTGCTCCAATTCCAGTAGGAATTAATTCAAAATGTTATGGGCTGTGTTACAAAGGTCAGGCTCTGTAATTGCAAATCTTCTATTACAATCAGTTAATCTTCTAATTCAATTTCATGCTATGCATTTCATATAAGATCTTGAATCCAAAGAACAGAGTTACAATGAGTGATTTTAGGTTCCTATAAAGACTAGGAGAAAACTGAAAGGTCAGAAAGACAGCAAAAAACATAAGTTGAAATAACAAAATTGAAAAGATCACAAAATTATTAAGTCAATAAATAACACATAGTTCTATTTTTCGTATGCTGTTTTCACTCCTGAGCTTTGCATTTGAGGCTTCAAAATAATTCTGTTTTAATGGGAAAAGAGGAATTTGACCCATCTTCAGCTCTTTTGACTATTTGACAGGTATACTACTTGGTGTCACTGCTACCTCCTTTCAAGTAGAGGAGGAGATCAAACTATTCAAGAGATGTTCCTTGACTTCTCCTTCCATCCATTTCTTGAATGACAGCTCTCTTGGCCTCTGTTTTTGTAAAGGACACTGATGATGGTCAGGTCTGTTCTGGCTCCTGCTAGAATCAATGAGAGAGCAGCAAACATTCTAAAAGGTGGCATATTAACTAAGCCAGGTACATGCTCAGGCCATTGCAGAATTAGAGAGTGAGTTTCCAATTTTAAAGAGAATTAGAAACTATTTAAAAATAAATAAATAATCACTAATTTTGCTAAAGGATTGGATCTGCAATCATGCAAGTGCCTGAAATGTGTTCTCTACATCCACATTGCTCTGAGTCTGGTTGGGATGGAGTTAATTTTCTTCACAGCTGGATGGTTTTTGACTGGTGACCAAGAAAGTGCTGATAACACATCCATGTTTCAGCTAGTTGGTGTCAAGGCCATCCCAGTTTGTCACTGTGCTGCCGCAGAGAGGAGGCTGAGGTGGGCAAGGACTGACAGTCAGAGAGAGTCAGGGAGGTTTGGTCAGTCATGAGAGCTGACCCCAGCTGACCAAAGGGATGCTCCCTATATCCCATAACGTGCTCAGCAATAAAATGGAGAGGGAACAACCATTGCCTGGGGAATGTCAGGGCATTGCTCTGATGTTGGTTATGGCTGGATTTTAGCATGACTTCTTTTCTTTTCTTCTTCCCCCCACCCCTCCCCTTTTGCTTACTAGAGTGTTTATTTAATCCAAGAGTTTTTTCTCACTTTTATCCTCCCTCAGCCTGCTTGGGAAGGAGTAAGAGAGTGACTGAATGGGGTCTGAGTTGACAGCTGGGGTCAGCCCACCACAGACACAGCATTCAAACTTGTGTCAGTAATGTCACATCTGCACCTAAGCTGTAATGGAAAGAGTCAAAGTTTGGCAAACATTTTGAAAACTGTATTTCTCAATTGTAAAATCCTATAATATGAAGAAAGCATTTATATGAGTAACATATGTATGCTAAATTCTTACTGACGTACTGTTCACATTTCCAGATGGGTGAAAAACTAGCCAGAATTTTTGGAAACCAAAATCCAAAATTCAAATTTCAATAGCATTTGTTCACCTTTACAAGGAGATTCTTAAAGGACAGAAAAAGCATGATTTATACTAAAGATTCATGCAGATTACAGACTCACAGAACATTAAATTAAATAAATGTGCACAGGATGTCTGTCCAATGACCAATATAATTTTCAAAACAATTTTTCGACTGTAGTTCTTTTTTTTTTTCTTTTGCCTGAATATTTTTAATACACAGAATTACTGAAAGTACTATGGAAACACAAGTGTTTAGGGTTAGAGTATATCAAATTATAGCATCTGTAGCCAAGATTTGGTATGAACTATAAAAAAGTTATGCATAAATGTTGCAGTTTGAAAAGAATATGTTCAGAACAATACCGGTAAAAATTAAAAATGTAAAAACAAAGGATGGGTCCAATTTCAACACTTTGAACTTGCATGAACATCTGGGCAAGAGATACTGAACACAATTTTTTAACAAGAAATGTTAAATCTTTATATAAAATATCCATGAGAGGATACATGTAAATTTTTTGTAACATTATTTATTTCACTATTCTGAACCATTAATTCCGTATTGTTAAATACTTCTGCCTAATTCAACCAAACCTTTTTTATTTTTCCTACTTTTTGAATTGTCACTGTATTCTGTGGCAATATAGAAGTGAGTCAGTAAAATAAAATCTTGGCATGAGCAAAATTCACTAATTCATATTTTCTGAAATAGCTTCATAATAGCGTTAAAAGTTCCATCTCTTTTTATACCCATTAAAGTACTTTTTGTGAATAAACCCCTCAGATTTAGAGCCCATAATTCAGTCAAATAACATAATTGCATATAATATCCTTGAGTGAGGATGAAAGCTTACTTTAGATGTGTTCATAGTAATTTTAGACTAATCTGAGCAAGGAACAGCTTAGTCTTTCTCAGTGTGATCATTGCCCATGTTGAACAATATTTTAATTTTGGAAACATCTGGAAACACCTTCGTTTTGCTAGTAATTGTTTTCTTTATTATAGTCTCTTTATTTTTTCCTTTTTCCTTATTTTTTTTCTCAGTGAGTAGAAACATATGCCCAAGTACAACACTGCAGAGAACATTTTCACATTGCAGCTCTCATTAACCAAGTCTCCTTTCACAAACACCACTACATATGAATGAAGGAAGGAAAAAGCAAAGCTTTCCCTTTTTCTGGAAAACAGATGTCTCAAGGAGGAGAGGGAAGTGCTTAAGAAGCTGTGAAATTCACCACATCGAAACCAAGACTTGCATGGGCTTAGCATCTTCTAAATGTCAGGGGAAGAAAGAAAAAAAAAAAAACAAAAGGAAAAGAAAAATCTGATAAATTCCCAAAACAATAATCAGTATGAATTCAACATTCACCCCTCTATCTCCAAATACTTTCTCTGGAAACAAAAGAAACCCATAGGACAACAACAAGAATACCATCAAAACCTGTTTCTACCATAGTCATTCAAGTTTCTCCAAATTCTCTTTTCCTCCAGAATGAAAGCATTTCCTTTAAGGGAAATTTACTAATCACTTTAATTGGTCATGAGTTATAATTAAAGAGTATCTGGACCCTTACAGTCTTTGCACGACCACTACAACTTATTGTGTGGTTATTCCTAAAGTCCCTGAAATCTCCTTTAAACTAGATAGAAAAGAATTGTAATCAAAACAGTATACCTATTCACTGTATAATATACAGCTGCTCTAAGTCAACATTTTCATCCAACAAATTTGTGAATACCCACACATAAAGCTGTGTGGATTTTTAAAATTGCATTTCCAATGTAAATGACAGTATTTTCTAGGAATAAGCTATACCAGCATAGAATTTCTTATTATAATTATTAATCGGGGGTGGGTTTTGGTTTTGTTTTGGAGGATGGGTGTTTGGAGTGAGACTAATGTAACTTATTTCATGAGAAATAAGGGAAATAAGTCAGGAAATTTCACTGGGTCCCAAGGCTCAGGTGCTCTGGTACTCTGCTTTGGAAGCTCAGCTGTCAGGTAGGTTCCTACAACCAAAAGCAATGAGGAGCTGTGGGAGCCTGAGTGACGCCCGAAATCTGCCAGAGTCATTTGTGTAAGAAACATCTGATGACAGTCCTTGGTCTGTTTGCATTTGGCTCGTACCAGTGTGAATCACAGGAAACCCTGCTGAGTCTGACAAGCCTTTCAAAAGAGACTCTGGGCCTCCAAGAAAAGATCAAGATGCGGAAGATCTACGCTTTGAAAAATCTCTGCAAAAGTAAGGCTTTCCTCTCTGAAGTGCCATCAATTCAGGTATACCTCTGACTCCTTAATCTCCCTTTGGGCTGCAACATTTCACCTTATGCATTGAAATTTCTATTCTGGGCCAGAATGGCAGCAAAGTATTACAATTTCTACTCTACTCCTGAATCCCCTAAACAGCCAGTTGTACAACAGCTTCCCCCCAGCTAATTTTTTAATTGATACCCAGTATTGACTCTGTGCACTAAGGGAACACAATCCAGGCTTTTGACTCTGAAATTTCATTTTTTAGCATCTCTGTGTATATTTTGTCCTTTTCTAAAATACACTAACCTGTATACATCAAAAGGGAGGCATAGAAGATTAATTTCTTGCATTGATTATTCTGGGGAAAAAAAACAGTTTTAAATGTCTTGCTTTCTAACCTTGCTGGAATTCACCAGTTCTTTATATATCAGGAAAGAGTAATTGCAACAATTCCTGTACAATTTATTTTTTTCTGAGAAATGTTATGGATTGCTTCTTTACTTAAATTATATTTTTAGATTGGATGCATCCAGAGATTTTCAGTGCTTTTAATAATTTATGTTGTTCAGTCCCAAATCTCTGCTTATCTCTACTATATTTCATGCATGTTTTAAACAGGATTACACTAAAATGGTGCTCAGCAGACAAACACAGGGGAAATTGAGTGGCTTACAGTGTTCTTCTCAAGTGAAAGAAGAACCTTGAAGTTTATCATATCTGACACTCTATTAGATAGAGGCAACATCTGTAGGCAGGGATCCATGGACAAGGTTATACAGCATTGCATTAGAAAAGGATTTATCCAGAATGAGCTCTTCAACCAAAAATTGGAAATGAAAGGTAAAAGCACAAGAAAAATTTTCTTTTCTTGCAGTTATGTTTACATTTATCCTAGTCTGTTATATTATGCACAGGAAACAAACTCTTACTCTGAAAGTCCTTAGCCTTAAATTCCAGTGTTTAAGAGGCATATGGACAATGCCCTCAGTAACATGCTTTGATTTTTGGTCAGCCCTAAAGTGGTTAGGAAGTTGGACCTGATGATTATTATACTTAGGGGGAAAAAAATTTTGATGTTCATCTAAGCAAGGGTCGAGTAATTTTTGTAATTTCAAATTTGCCAATAAAATGAGCTTTGAGCAAAGGGGAGAGGTATAGTTTTTTCTCTGCATTGCATGTGATTCTTTCAGTCTGGGGTGCTGAGGCTTTTTGGTTTATTTCTTGTTTCTCTTTTTTCTTTTTCCAAGAACATGACAGGCTAAGGTCTTTTGTAAAAATTAGCCTACTCTAGCCAGTTTTTATCATCTAAACCTATAATTAATGTTCTTCAAACACTGGCCCTTATCTGATGTCTTAAAAGAGCCTTGTCTGTGAGACAGCCAGAGACACAGTTTAATTTAAACTGTCAAAGATTAAAAGGAAAAATACCTTATTCTTTCTTTTACACAGGTGATGAGGAACTTAAGTCTTTGAAACAGAGAATGTCAATGTCCTGTGCCAGTGTGATGCTAAATACAGTGGATGATGAAGATTGATTCATTAGAAATGTTCTACCCTCTGTCAAATAAGGAAAGCTAAGGGTCTTGTTTGCTAATTTTTTTATAATAACTGACTAGAGATGATAACAGATGCCAGCAAATGAAGAAATATTTGAATTGAAAAACAAATCTTTGACATTCATTTAACTTACCCAACATGAAACAATAAATAAAATAAGGAGACTCCTTCTGCAGTTTGGAAAACCTGGTTGTTTTTCAGGAAAACCTGAATCCACTAAGGGTAGATTTCACCCTACACAATCTCTGTCACCCTGGCTGGACAGAGTGCCTTGGCCCAGCCTGCCCAGGGCTCAGGGCAGTTGGCACCTCCAGGGAACAAGTCAGCCCTCCTGTCTGTCTGTGCCAATGTCTGCTGACTGATTTGTTCAAGTGCTTCCTTGACTACACAGGCACCCAATATTTTACATAGTCAATATCCTTATGCAGGAGCTAGTTTGGAAAGTAGGAATGACTTTTCCTCTACCATTTTTGTATCTTCTCCAATGGTGACAAAATGCAGCTACCACAAAGGAAAAACACAAATGAAAAGGAACTTCCCTGCTTATATTTTGCTCAGGCCATTGTTGAATTATCCTTGAATGTCTGTGCCAGCTCCATAATTAACCATAATCAAAACAGACACTGTCTCAGTTGTTCCTAAAAAATGAGAATTAAAAAAAAAAAAAAAGGAAGAGTGATTTTTTTTCATTATTGCTATATATTAGGGGAAAAGAATAAAAAGACTTTTTCCATTGAAGTCTGTAAAAGTAATTTAAAAGGATAAACCTGAGTGACTTTACTAGTGACTTTACTACTTCTTCCTTTTCTTAGAAAGTAAAAGTATCTAAAAACAAAATAAACTTTAAATCATTACACCTCATAAAAATGTAATTATATTTCAATTATCCCCTGGGGATTGTACTGAAAAGAACATGTTGATTGTGCTGCCTTGGCTCCAAGAGAAACAGAATAATGAGAAATCTTGGCACTTGTACAGAAAGGTAAGTTACAAAGCCATTTTCATGCCAAAATAATAATTCTTCTTCTTTGTTTATTTGAAGATTTCTTGATATTTCATTTTACTTCTTTATCAATGCTACTAGAACTGAACCTCTTTTTGCATCTGTTTTAAACTTCTTAATGAGGTCATTTACCTTCTAAGCAGCAGTTTCACTTCCAGCCACCCCACGTGAGACTCTTGCCCCAGTTTCTTTGCCTTCATAGCAAGTAATGGTCCCAGTGCAAGGTCTGCTTCAGCACTCTGTGTTGACAGAAAAGAAGGTTAGTAGCAATTTTCACAGGTTGTTTCCCATGTAAATATTTGTTGGAGATAGGGAAAACCTTGATTTAGAGGTAATGGTTCACTGTTGTGCCATTCAGTCAATTTCTCATCAATCTTTTTTTGCCTTCTGCTGTGTGGGATGTCGTAGAAGAGGTCTGGGCAAAACATGCCAGAGAGTCACAAACTGCAGGATTCACAAGGACTGCTATTTCTAACCTAAAGAACCCCTCTGTGGTATCCTAAAGAAGACATTTTAGTTGCACCGTGTGCTGGTTTTTGTTGAGATGACATCAATTTTCTTCACAATGGCTGATATGGGTCTGTGTCTAGGACTTATGCTGAACACAGAGTTGATGTTACAGAGATGTTTTTGTTATTGCTGAGCAGGGCTTGCACAGAGCCAAGGCCTTCTCTGCTTTTTGTACTGCCACAGGGGTGAGGGAGTTGGGGGTGCATGGGGGAGACACAGCCAGGACAGGTGACACAATCAGATCCAAGGGATATGATGGATATATGCTCAGAATATAAAGTGGGAGGAAGAAGAAGGAAGGGGAAGAAAATTTGGACTGATGTTGTTTGTCTTCCCAAGTAACTATTACATGTGATGGAAACCTGCTCTCCTGGACTCTGCTGAACACCTGTCTGTCCATGGAAAAGGGTGAATGAATTCCTTTTTTTTTCTTTGCCTGTTTTTGCTTTCCCTATTAAACTGTCTTTATCCTTTTCTCACAATTTACCCTTCCTGTTCTCTCCCTGCTCTTGCTGGAGGGGGAGTAAACAGGACTCAAGACTGAACCCTGGGAAGAACACCACGGGTGACACGGTGCCAGCTGAATGTAACTCCACTCACCACCACTCTCCAAGCATGGCCCTGCAGGCATTTTTTACCCAGAAACTGATTTCCTTCCTGAAGAATGCCCAGCCTTCCTGGACTACTTTACCCTTCAGGACAGACTCCCAAGAGACACTGGCAACCATGCCTTGAAAAAGGGGGGAAAAGGAAATGGGAGAATGGAGTAGACAAAAGTGGAGGAAAAAAAAAAAAAAAAAGGAATTGTAAAAGAAGTAAATGTAGAAGGAAGGAGAGAGGTGAGGAGGTCTTTGCTGGGATTCCATCCCCAGTGACAGCAGAGGGGACAGGTCACAATAGGACAATTACCAAAGCATGGCAGAGCAGGCAGGGCTGTGATAGTGCAGGCTGGGCAGGGGTGAGTGCCAGGGTATGTGGTGAAGGCTCAGCTGGAAAAGGGCCGGGGCAGAAATGCCAGCTGGGTGTCCAGTCCAGGCAGGACACTGTCACCATTGTATATTCTGAAAAATTCTCTTTGCCCAGGATTCTTCTCCTGGGAAGCTGAGAAGCCTCAGAGAAAAAGGAAAACAATATTATCTCATTTGCTTCTCCTGTGTTTTGCTGCTTTGGAATGTGGTTTGGAGCTTGTTTATCCAACAGGTGGTTGTTTCATTGGTTGCATGTGAATTGTTTTTACTTTATGACCAATCATAGTCCAGCTGTGTCAGGACTCTGGCGAGTCACAGGATTTTCATTAGTATCTTGTTAAACTTTCTGTAAATATCCTTTCTGTATTCTTTAGTATGGTTTTAGCATAGCATAGCATAGCATAACATAACATAACATAATCCTCCTAAGAACATGGAGTCAGATTCAATCATTTCCTCCCTTCGTCCAGGGGACCCTGAAAATTCCACAGGACACAGTGCCACCCTGCTCCCTCACCCTCTTTCCTAGCTGCTCCCAGGTCCTTGGCACTCCTGCCCCCACTCCCTCTGCCTCCAGCTCCCTCCTGCCCAGCCCCACTGAGCCCCCCCTCTCTTCTGTCTCCTGCTTTTCATCCATGGGAATTCCTTCTTGGCAGAGCTAGTCTTAATGACTTCTCCTCATCTGTACTCCTATGTGGGGAAGCCCCAACTCAAGCTCTTGAGCTTGTTGAACATCATGAGGTTCTCATGGACCCTCTCCTCAAGTTTGTCCAAGTCCCTCTAAAGCCTGGAATCCATGAACATTGTGGAACAGCCATTCTCAGAGGTGTTTGAAAGTGCCTGAGCTGGTTCAGCTGATACCCTCTGCTCTTGGCATCAGAAGTGGACCCACTTTAAGTAGCTTCACCAAAGCTTTATACAACCAGATGATGGAGCTGCTGAATTACTGTGTTTCAGCAGTTCCCAATGATATGAAGTGGAGGAGGGGAGCAGCTGACTTCACACATAATTTTGTTAGCAACACAGCACTAAATGAGAACTGAAGAGAGTACTCATCAGATCTTATGAGGCATTATTGTAGTGGTTTTCAATAGCTTATTCTTTCTTTTCAAATATTTTCTCAGTCTCTTGTACTTGATGTTTTTGTGTAAGAATAGATCCTAAGGGCAGCCTGTCCTGAAACATCCATCAAAGGTAGTTCCTGTGTCAGTGGGAACACTGCAGCCTACCCTACAGTTTAGTTTTGGAAGGTTTTGCCAGGGCTCAAGATGATTCCTTCATCAGGAAAATTAAACCCAGCCCCTTTCCTTCTAACAGACTTGGCAGAGGAATTGGAGCTCGAACTATTAAATGGAAAGGCACGCAGTGTCCAAAGCAGAGAGAAAGCTATAAAAGAGCAGCAATGAAAAGCACACCAGAAACTTGGAAAAAAAAACCCAAAACCTGCCAAACTCATGAAAAGGCCAGCTAGAAAATTTCCACACAGAAATGCAGCGGAGATACCATTACTGTTACTAAATGCAATAAAGATAATGAATGATATCAGCAAAAATGAAACCCACATATAAAGTCACTAGCCTCAATATAAATTTTATGCACATTGATTCTTAAAAATACTAAGTATTCTTAGTTACCAAATCTTGAACTTTTCATTCATATAAATATAACATTATAAATAATCTGTGAAACTTTCTATTCCCTATGAAGGAAGAACATCAACTCTTATGACAATACCCACTGGTATAAGGAGATTTAGTCAGTCACCAAACCACACCTTTTAATCAAAATTCAATTCACTAGTTTCCCTTGTCAAGTGTGTTAAATTCACCTGTGTTTATTTTGTTTTAGGGCTTGGGGTTTTTAAAAATAATTTTTAAAAATATATTCTAAAATATGTGTAAGACAATTAATTCATTCAACAAGAAGAAAAAAATCCAATCTGTTGTACTGCCTGGCAAACATATGAAATTTTAAATACAAATCCCATTGCTCTTTTTTTCAGTTAACCTTAATGGATATAATTTGACTTAATCAATAATTTCATGCTTTTCAGAGCCACATCACTGTCATTGGCTCAAGGGGAGTGTGAGTGTAATTTTAAGCCCTCTTTACCTGAGAGGACAATGTAGTGTCCTAGATTTGATGAGTTATTTGTTACAAGAAAAGGGTATTCAGCTCATATATTTGACTTCTGAAAGTCCACATCAAGCTTCTCCCTGCTGTTAGCATGTAATCAGTGTATAACATTACTCTGCAGTTTCCCACAGGGCAGTGTTTATTGCTTGTACTATCTAAAGGATTTCCAGGAGTGGCAGGCAGGCAGGAAGCTGCTGGTAGCTTAAGGGCTCTCACAATTCAGTCAGATGCCAAACAAAGCCAGTTTGCAGGAACTTTTTCAATAGCATCTCCTTTTATGGATTCTCAATGACCTGACTATCAATGAGGAATCTATTTTTATCCAGGCAACTTTTCTCAAATAACTGAACCCTTTGAATAGCATTACAGAGGGCAGATTTCTAATAATTCTTCTTTCAAGGATTTTTTTTTTCTTTTTCCCTTTTCTCGTTACCCTGGAAATGATCACCAGGCAATAGGAAACCAGAATTCAATCTGATTTATGCTGACTTACAAGATATCACAGAATGATGGCTGTAAGCCTTGCTGCATGTAAGTGTCCTATTTACTTCACTGAAAGCAGTGATGTACCTACAGAGGAATGTGAATTCCTGGGGTTAAAATCATGGAGTGCATTTGCCCTGTGTAATTAAAGGGCCAAGGAGAAACTTCAGCACTAAATCCCTGCCTGTCCCCAGTATTGGGAGCTGCTCTGTCACATGAAGGATACCACAAAATGAATATATTTAAAGAAGGAAGTTGGTGAGATTTGTTGTGTACAGTGCTGCCTGCATTGTGCCCCCCTTCTTTCAAGGGATCTAGAAAAAAAATTTTGGAAAAGGACAAGGAAAAAAAGTCGAAAGGGTTGGGAGCAATGGCAGTAAATGTGATACGGAAAATCTTAATCAAACAGAAAATTAGGGAAATTCCCATCTTTGTCAATCCTGCTGGAAATCCTGTATCAAAAACATCTTATGAATCTAGACTGCCATCTAGGCTTTATGAAGATCCAACTTTCTTGCAGTTCAAGAAAAAAATGGCCTAGAAGGCCTTTACTCTTCTACTCTTCTATATTAGAGTCCAATCCATTAATGGCTTTAAATAGAGATCATTCCTGAGTTAAGCTATGGAAGACAAATGACACTTTAAAAGTGTCCTTTCATTTTTTGATCTACAAACACAGAAGTGGATGGCAAATAGTGTCCATTTTAGTATAAGTGTTTTTTTGAAGCTATTTTGCATACTTCCCATACTGTTAATATTTCCTCTGATAAGTCTTCAGCTTTTATACTATCAATACTCTACATCCTCTGAGCAGCATTAAGTTTTACTTTGTGCAGTTGCAAAATACCTTAAAGGAAAAAGATACATTACCTGCATGTTAAGTCAATCCAAATTCAGGTGGACAGATGAGATTCTCATGTAGGAATGCAGTGTTCAATGCTTTACTTAATGTCAATAGAAAGAGACAAGCATGTAACTGAGATTTAGTTCACCAAAGTACTGAATTCCCCTATTAAGCACCATGATGACAACCTTGGCGAGGTGTGTGAGTTTGAGATAGGCATCCAAGTCCCTGAACCCCTATGAATCACAGCGAAATGTAGCCTGTTTCATTTTATTTAGGGAAGATGGGATGCAGAATG